TTGCCTTTGTTCAAATTCACGAGTATCTGTGATTACATGCTGCGGGGCACTGAGAAAACGTTAAGCGCACCGTATTATTTTGAATCACAGACTACAAGTAGAACCTTTTTTCAACATGCAAGTTGTGAAATTGTGCATTATATCAATGAAGAGTTGATGTACTTGCAGATTATTTTTGCCTTAATCAATTCCACAGGTAAGATTCGTTAAGCAAACCGGTGAAATTTCTAAGACTGTTACCTTATCTCATTTGACACATTAAGGGGGTAGGATATGATTGATCTACATCATTCAGTCTTGTTGAATTTCTTGGGCAACTCCAGTTGATACAGTAGCCTCTCTCCCACTTAAGGGGGTTTCAGTGATTCGGTATTGCCGAAGTTTCCTTATTGTGAAGACATTTACTACTGGATGAATTAATAATTTGTCGAACGTCTTCACAGTTTTTTGTCTTCTTCCCTTTTGTTTTCCACATTCCATCTAGTTTTACAAACATGATCAGGATATATGGATCGCATTACAAGATGCCCTTTGACCGGTTTGGGGACTACTCGACGACAATGTACGCAGATAAAAGGAAAACGGTTTGCCAGAATGCTCGACGCGTAAATGGTTCGTCTTGTCTGAAGCGATCTCAAGGTTGTGAATGCTGAGTATGCATGAAGCACATACAATTTTACGAGACTAGAATGGACCATTAAACGGTTAATGAAGTTGCATCAATGACACATCCACCCTAGCATTTTCGCCTTTCGCAAAATAGGGTAGTCGATACTTTACTGAATATCTAAGTAACCCAGTAAACGAGCAGCTGGTAAAGTTTAGTTTTTCCCACATCAGTATTGGGCCTGGTCTGTGACAGAATGACGATGGACGTTGCTTTTATTTGGCTTCACATTCACTTCTGGAAAGGACTCAAACCTCGAAAGTACCCATTTGATACTTCCGGAATGCCAAACATATCGCTTAAGGGTCAACACTTTCTCCTGCTCAGAACTGATTATTATAACGTCTCTGACTTGTGCTGGTGAACTAATGGTAACACCTGCTTCCTGTGTCAGATTTCCGGAGTTTAGACCCCGGGACATTCAAGTATATGCATTAGTGATGAGCCCGGATAAGAGCCGAACTCAAGTCCAGTGCTTCTCCTTTGGTGTGGACCCACCAGAATAATTGCTCCATGTTACAAAGAGGACTGTTAAAATGGGTGTTTTGAATGTGAAACTTTGAAGTAACAGCTACAGGTATGTGCCGTTCCGCTCACTGGTGCGGCTTTGAACGCTACGTTTATTTGAGTCCAGCACCTCGTTATCCGCAGTGGCCAGCACTTACACCCAGACCAATTTCTTGCCTTTGGGGCATGCAAAGTTTGCACCTTGTCTGTCTCATAGCCTTTTGCTCTGAAATATTTAATCTAATAGTTTGAACTAATTGAAGATACCCATTCAGACCATGAGAAGAACGAAGATAGCAAGCATAGCTTTTGTCTGTAACTGGCGAGTAATTCTATCGCAAAATTTTATGTGCACCGGTTTAGTACAAACAACGAACAGGTAATCTATAAAGGAAGAAAAAGAACGCAGTGGGATTAGAGGTACACGGGTCAGTGCGTCAACGAGTCGATTAAGTGACTAATGTCAAAAATTTTTCGCAAGTCAGCTTAGGTTTAAAGGTCGTTTACGTTTTTTTGGACGCAGAATTCTGTCACGCATTCGGATTCCAATTGCCCCTCCGGTGGATGGTAGTATATATCGTAATACCCTGATCGATCTCGCAGGCTTGCTGTTTCTTAGTAACATGATTGGTTATCAGATTTGAAGAGAGCCTGCATGTGGACCTGCTTGCCGAGCTTCTATACGTCAGCTTCACTCAAACTTCATTACTTGGATTAGAAACTCCCTGTACATCCTTCCTCTGTACGTACAGACGGGCGGTGTCGTCTTTCAGAATGCGAACATCAGTGTTGGGATGCCCTTAAGATATACGTTCCCCCATTCCACACTTATATGATTAATCTCCTGTCGTTCGTTGCCTCTTCATACCTTTATAGGCGACTGCGCTATGGAGGCTTCTCTGTCATACCGCGTCCACTGATCTGCTTTGCTCCCACGCTATGAGTGGCTATTTCCGCTCCCGATACCTTTGTTCCCACCATCATTGACAGTGATTTGCAGAATACCGTGGGTCCACCTCCCGTAGTCTATGAGTGGAATTTATCGACATTTCTCATAGCTCGGCATCCATAACATATCGTTTTTCAACATTATATTCTAGTCCTCACACTTCACGCTTATCATGATAGGAGAAACTTGGGTGATTGGCTTCTTATCTCACCAGTTCTTTTGTTTCCTAAGTCAAACTGAGCCTAACCCAAGGTGCTGCCCTCTTGCCCAGCGTGACCTTCCCTCCTTTTACTTATTCCCAGTGGCTCTGTTCAACGTAATATTTTACTTCTTATCGATAACTTTTCACTGACCAGTAACTTGTAGATGCTTTCTCACCGTCAGGAGATGGCATCTCATTCCTTATTTTGTCCTCGTCATCAGTGAGAAACTCAACTGGGATTAGTTCTTCCGGCACTTAGTCTGTATCTTTCGACTGGGCACTCTGCACTCTATCAAGACACTCTCATACGTTGTAGAACTGAACCTTCCTCAGAGAGAATCTCGTCTTTGTAACTTTTCGTAAATATCTCACTTTCCACCCTCAGATACCAATCAGCTTATAATAATCCTAGGTAATGCCATCTCAACCGATATATTCGCCGTATTGTTTCGTGTGTGCTCGTTTGCTGTGCTTCATTGTTTTCGCAGAAGGCATTTGACCACTTTCTGTAAGCCACTTACCTGTGCTAAGAAATCCCTTATCCCGAAGCCTCTACGAAGAGTTACTCGTGACAGTCCTTCTTCCCTTCTCATTTAATTTATGTCCATCATCGTCTATGGAACGCAGTACAGCATGTGTTTTTCGTATTCGATCTCGTTTCCCTGTGGAAATTGGCAGGACTGCCACTTTCGACTGTGTAATATCCCAAATCTGTCCAGCGCACAGTGTACATAGAAATAAGGGTTTGCATGTAAGCATTTGCATCAAGAAGACAGAACGTCAGCTGTCTATGAGCATAGCATAGCGCCTTTCGCTATGACTTTTAGCAGGTCCTCCAGTTCAGGGTATATTTTGGGCTCCCGTTCTCTCCTAGTAAGCCAACTTAATGCCAGAAAGTCATCTTAGACCACCTAACCTTACGGGGAGCAGAATCTGCGGTGAATCGGGGAATGAAACTTAGCTTTTTGGAAAGGAAAGTGTTATCATTGTCCCCAGTTGCTCATTCCCTACCTCTGACCACAATTTATCCATCTCATCAGTTATCCGACGCCATGCGCCCCGTAATCTTTGCGTGCATCTAGTACTAAAATGTTTTCACACTGTCGATTTGGACTGCCTCTCCTCAATGATCCATAAATGGGACGGAACAGACCCTGTTCTTTGAAATCTGTATCATTATTGATGTACCAAATTCCAATATTCCTAGCACAGATTCACCTATCGAGCTGCTTTCCAACTGAACATCCGCGTGAGGTCGAAGAAAAAGCAAGTTAACTCTGGAATGTATTATACTGCTACGGGTTCAACACACAACTAAAGTCCAGTTTTACAGTGACTAACTGTCAGTCAGAGATATACGTTTCTAGCCCTCTTTTGTAACTTAAAAATAATGCCTAGTTGACCAGAATGTAACGAAACCTCATTAGCTCTGGTAATCCGCAAGAATACCCTTTTAGCTTCATCCACCCGTTTTTAAAAAGCTTTTGCATTGGAGCACAAATCATTGTATTGATTTACGAGAAGTAAGGAAGAGTGTACACCCTCACTGAAAACTTGCATCGCTGTAAAATGTATGAGATAAGTTCTCGAAGTTGTTGCCGTCTACATAGTATGCTGCCTTCAACGGAAGCAACCATAAATCATGTACAGTTGCCACTTAACCACACGCGAATATTATTCGATGTCAAACATTCCTGGTCATTTCTAATCTTTCCGCACAATCGTTCGTCGAACTAGTCTCTCTGAAATTTTACACTGCAATAATTGTTGTTTAAAAACAAGAAGCCTGTGGAGATAATCAGAGCGGCTCTCGGGTACTCTATATGTACCTCATCATGCTCACACAGTTCGAACGAATGGCTAAATTATGTAAAAGCTGACTTTCCGTCGAATGTAGTTTGGTCTACAAGAATAAAAGCAAAAGATAGTGTTCTCATGTGCCACTTTATCCAGGCTTAAAAATGTTATCATATCGTATCGTTAACCTCGTAATACTGTGTTTGAAATAACGATGAATGAGTAGACCCCTGAACTGGCAAGTGCCACTCGTGATGCCTTGGTGTTTAGTTGAACCATTAGTGACAAATGACGTGGGAACAATTTGGGACCACTGTGTCCAAGTTCTTACAGGCATTTTATTACGCTCAGGCGTAACTAGACCCACTGATATACACATTTCCAGGTTATTTACATTCCCCGTGCTTGGCATTCAAAACGCAGAAGTTTTGTGATCAAACAAAGAGACATCACTACTCAGCGCTTATCACTAAAAAAAATAAGTGGTGCATTTTGCGTCTTGTGAACTGTCTTTCACAGTGCATAACATTAGTCAGCTGAGCCGACAAGTGCAGCTCTGTTTTATCGTACAGACAGACATGAGCTAAAATCATCTACTATCAGCCACTGTTTGCTGCGCATATGCACATGCCTAAATGAAAAAATCAATCACCTGCTCCGAAAAGGAGGACGAGTTGCAGATTATCTCGTAAGGTTGACTGGTGCAGCCTCGGGTAAAATGAGGTGTAGACAGTCAAGCCAATACAACTGAAGATAAGCCATGAGGCAAAGTGTGATGGAACGAAATCTATACATGGTCAAACGTCAACAGAATATAAGTTACAGTTTAGCTAACCGGTCTTCTATAACGCATTAAATGCATTTTCGAAGGAAACAACATGGCAGAAGATGAAATCAACGCGCTCGTAATCGACAACGGGTCCGGTATGTGCAAAGCCGGGTTCGCCGGAGATGATGCACCCAGAGCCGTATTCCCATCCATCGTTGGGAGACCCAGACAACCCGGAATCATGATTGGAATGGGACAGAAGGACAGTTATGTCGGTGATGAGGCACAGTCGAAACGTGGTATCCTCACTCTGAAGTACCCGATCGAGCACGGAATCGTGACCAACTGGGATGATATGGAGAAGATCTGGCATCACACGTTCTACAACGAACTGCGTGTCGCCCCCGAGGAACACCCAGTCCTACTCACCGAAGCACCCATGAACCCAAAAGCGAACCGTGAGAAAATGACACAGATCATGTTCGAGACGTTCAACACACCAGCCATGTACGTGGCCATTCAGGCTGTGTTGTCGTTGTATGCATCTGGTCGGACGACTGGGATTGTGTTAGACTCCGGGGACGGTGTGAGTCACACAGTGCCGATCTACGAGGGTTACGCCCTACCACACGCTATCCTCCGTCTGGATCTGGCTGGTCGAGATCTGACTGACTACCTGATGAAAATCATGACGGAACGCGGCCACTCGTTCACCACGACAGCTGAGCGAGAAATCGTTCGCGATATCAAGGAGAAGCTGTGCTACGTCGCACTCGATTTCGATCACGAGATGGCGACTGCCAGTGAGAGCTCATCACTGGAGAAGGGTTACGAGCTTCCCGATGGACAGGTGATCACGATTGGCAACGAACGATTCCGCTGTCCCGAGGCCATGTTCCAACCGAGTTTCCTCGGTATGGAGTGTGCCGGTCTGCATGAGACCGCCTACACATCGATCATGAAATGCGACGTGGATATTCGAAAGGACCTGTATGCGAACATTGTTTTGTCTGGCGGTTCGACCATGTTCCCCGGCATCGCCGATCGAATGCAGAAGGAGATTACATTGTTGACGCCGAGCACAATGAAGATCAAGATAATCGCTCCTCCGGAGCGCAAATACTCGGTGTGGATTGGAGGTTCAATTTTGGCTTCCCTATCTACATTCCATCAGATGTGGATCACCAAACAGGAGTATGACGAATCTGGCCCGGGTATTGTACACCGAAAATGCTTTTAGACTTTTATTTCTATCTCCGTTTGTCCATTTTAGATGTGTTTTTTTCCAACAATTGTGTTTTACTAATTCACATTCTTCTCGTTGTTCTTCTTTGTTATCCTGTATGTTGTTGGATGCGTTTCGATGACTTTCTTGAAATCAACAATGTGTTCCAGGCGATGACTAATGTGACATTGTTCAGTTTAGACTGTGTGATTTCATGGGTCAGTCTCGACAAGTCTGAGTTTTGAAATGTGTCTCAGTTCGCCGTATTGAATGGTAATTGATGAGAGTCCTCTCCCCGTCCACATTCCGTCCAATTTTGTTGTGTCTCGCGTTTGTAATGCTGATATGTAACACCCTTCCCGTATCAAGCTTTCATGCCGCGCGGAGGAAACACCAGCGTTGAGATCCTACCAGATTGCTTTAGATCGTATAAAAGCAATGGATTTTCATATGTTCGGTTCCAACCGGGGTCTCTCATGTCAGCATATTCGTACTCAACTATCCTGCCATCTCAAACATGGCCCCATTTAAAAACATATGTCGCAGGCTAGAGAATGCTCTTCCTGTGACTGGAATTAGATGCTTGGGCAGAATAAAAAGTAATTTTGGAAAATTTGAGGTTGGAAATATTTGTTTAGCTAGCGTCTCCCGAATTCCAAACCGTGTTGCCAATCATTTGCCAGGAAATTCTCCAGGATAATGGCAGTTTTCGGCTTTGCCCTGCCACGGTAATCTTGGTTTAATCGTCTATAAACTATCCTCCTCAGAATCTGTGAAGAAACGGAGAAGTAAAGATGTGGGTCATTTAGGCTGACCGAATAGTACATCGAAGAGAGGATAATTAGTGTTGACTGCTCCAAGCAATTCCGTTCACTTTCCATCCAGGCGTTTAGGTGACATGCGGTCAAATTGCACACAGAACGCTAAAACCAAGTGGTCTTGAGTGTGCCATCTTACCAGGATCCGTTAGAACATCAACGGCACGGGCTAACAGACTCCAATCGCCTCCGAATAAAAAGACTCTTGGTCCGTCTAAAACAGGTTAAGCTTCATATTAGCCCAAAGAAATTTTCTGATCTGCGCCGTGCTTCGGAATTGTCAGCAGGCATGTCCATACCCTCGTTGAAAGCGGGGTTTCGTGTGTCCCGGATGCATGACAAGCGCCTCAGAATCATCACCGTTTTCTCGGGTACTCATAAATAACTTGAAACCTCGGCTTACCATCAGCCCCATGGGACCCCCGTTGGTGCATTTTTCTCGGTTTCACCAATCACGTGTGGATTTCTCTGAACCTCGTAGGAGTCGTCGTCATCTGACCACATTTACGTTCTTGGACATACTTCATAGAAATTTATATCTGACTAGTGAGTGCAGATATTCTATCTGATCGTCTGCAGGGTGAGTGGGACTCGTCAGCCAATGGCGTGGCCCTGCAGATCAACCAGGCAGTACCGCGGTTGAAGTTCCACTGCACGACCAGTATAAACCAAGGACGTCATTCACTCCGCGTTGTGAACGTGTCCATCTGGTGTGCGGAGACCACGGTAAGGTCCCAGGTGTCCCTTCTGTGAAATGACCAAATGCCAGTAATTGGCGATCCTGCCCCACGATCCATCAAGTCGATAAGTGTAGAAGGTTCCAATTCTAGTTTTACAGGCCATTCTTTACAGACTTGTTTAATTACCACCAATGGTGGCATAAAACGTAATTTTATGGATGCGACTGAACGTTACAGACGATACTCATGACGGTGACGAGGAACAGATCGGGGTTGACTTCAGCTGACTTTTGTAATGGTGTAAAAACAAGTTGATGAATAAGCTGATAACGATAGGCGCCTGAGTTGTGTTGTTATACCCCAAGTAACTTTTATTTGGTTTGGCTATGGGTACTAGAATTTAAACTCTCCATTTGCCCAGGACTGTAACACATCAAGGGCATAACATAGGAACCTCGGGGAAAATTCACTGATTCTTGTTAAATACACTCAGCTCAGTGTAGTCCGATATTTCGAACATTTTTCTAGTTAAGGCACGAGGTAATCTTTTTGTGGCAAATTCAGTTGAAGAATAGCATAAATGACAGCTTTGGCTGGAAATCAGTTGAGCCACCCGCTAAATCCTAATCATTTTTCAATCGAGCGCTTTTTGCGAGTTCGCGTCCAGTTTGAGTTTAATTGGAACACGATTTAGACGGGAATTCGAGAGCTGCGCTTACCTGATTATCTTTAAGAGGGTCAAAAGATGTAATCGGTCGTCGAAGAGTTTCCATCAACCTTGTGAATACTTTGTTTCGTCTTCACTTACGGTCCGGGCTAAATGCAGCTCTTTTACCTACCAGGACATCCAGACAAAATCAACTGCCTCTGAAGGCACGTAAAACATTAAGAATGGTTATATGCATAATGCTGTCGAACTTTCTTACTATTGAATTAAATTTGGACTCGAACGTAGTCGCCCATACAGCGCAGCATCTGGAATGCTGGGTATAAAAATAGTAAACACACCATTTCATCCCTCTTCCATTCGTCTACATATGCTATCAAAACTAATTTTTCGGTTATCAGCAGGGAAGAGTGTTAGGGACGAACCCATTCACATCCGCATGAGTATGCTAACTTCATCAGACCTATCGAAACAGAACGGTGAGCAAACTACTCACGATTTGAAATTCTCAGCAGCTTCATGTGTCTGTCAAGCCAAAAAAGTGTTGGAATTGTTTTGAAATACCGAGAGCAAACCTAAACATGCTTGGAAAAATGAAGCATTGAGAGATTAGACGGGCCAAAGAGGCCATCCACCTAACTGCTCTGATAAAACTCACTGATTGGGTGTGACAATCGTAACAACTGTTCATACATAAAATTTAATAACGTCGACTTGAAATTTCAAAACAATAGGCATATAAAGATATCAGGGGCTTCATTCCATCATCAAATGCTGAAGACTGGTCCTAAAAGAATGACAAATAGTGCTCGTCTTGGTGCTATTCTAGCTCTCCTATGCAACATGTGCTGAGCTGTTAAAGTTTCACCAAAGTTGATTGTAAGGTTATGTGTTTACAAATTGTTTGATAAGATGTAGCACAAGTTGTTTACGGATAAAGTCGCCAGGTGTATATCCCAACCTCCGAGCGCGGAATCATCCAGTATGTTTTGCCACCGTCACGTTGCATGCTATTCACTGTTTGAATCTGCCTCACTCAAGCCTACTCGCTTACCGCTAAGGTTACCTGGACACCTGTACTGTATTATTGACTTCCCCATCTGCTAGTGATATGTTTACACATGCGACAATTGATTGAAGCCTGAGATGCATCGGTGGCTCCAAGACACCAGCGCAGATCTTGGGCATTTCACAGTGAGCAATAACAAGGGGCATTCCGAGTCTCAATAATACTATTAAGATCGATAAAACGCTTAAGGGTTCGTTGGTGGTTTCGCCCTTCATTGAGCTTATCAGGAAGGCCTAGTCCACAGAACTACATCAATTTCGTTTCTTACTCCACCAACTCAAACTGTGTGTGCTTTTAACGTCGTGTCGACGGACGACTCGGTTGAAATTCATCTGAACTTCTCTTTCACAATATTACTAATATTAATATAGGAAATACTGAAACACGCCTCGAACATCCCGCATATCGTTCCAATCGAAACATGAAGCAGACTTTGTACGTGACACTTAATTGAAGAATGTTTGAAGTGAGGGATTTCGGTAAATTTCTGTTGGATCATTCATCAAAAAGTGAGTGATTACAACGAGCCGAAAGTTTTTTTAGTTTTGGTCTGTTCTGCATGATGTTTCGCGCACCACATTATTTCTTTGATTCTCTTGGGTTACGGACTCGTCAAGAACGGCAACTTATTAGGTGACAAAGGCTTGTATGCTCCTTATTAGGTGGAGCCTAAGAAGACCAAGAAAGCTACCGGTAGTTAAACCCTGAGAACCTCGACGAAGATAAACTATTCGATCCTGCGCATCGGGTCCGCACAAGGAGTTTACGCTGAAATTAAGAATCTAAATGTATGTTTTGGCAGTAAGAAAGTAGAAAAATCTGACTAGCCACGGTCACTCTAATTGTCTGAACAAATCAACAGTTGTTAGGATGAGAATTAAGCCTTCTTGAAATAAAGATCGCTTCCTATCTGCTCTGATGAGCGTATTCTCAACAATGAAAATACCCGGGAATTCCTTCCATCCTCTGTCCTCCGATATCTTCATGTTAGACTTCGGTGATTACTGTTATGAACATATGATTAACCAAACAGACACGGATCGTGGGCATTTCGCATTCCTCTTTTTCAGAGCGAAGTTCTCCAAACGAACTCATCAGCCGGAACTGTATTCTTGGTGGCTCATCAGATGGAAAATCGACCTCCTTTGTATCCGCTCCTTGTAAGACTGTGCAGGTTCACGCTGTTTTATCGATACTATGCCTTTCCACATTCTCGCCCGTTTACCAGTGTGGTCACATTCTCGGACTGTCCTCAAGTATCCTTTTGTTATCTCTAACGCCATTTAACCCTATTATCTTCTTACAGTTCGTTTCATAGTCTTTTTGACTTGCTCAAGCTCAAGCTTATCAAACGGGCAAAATTGGTTCATTTGTGAATTCACTTGTTGACTAGGTTCAGAGTGTATTTTTCTGAAGCTTCACCTACCGTATCCGAATTTTTCTCGAACGGTTATGCAATCTGTCAGCTTTATTTACGCAAACTGTGCTGAAACACGGTTATTTGTTACTGATAACATCTACAGTTTGCATCTGCTGCTTGCTTTTGCTTTTGCATATCGTCCTAATTGAAGCATGTGAGTGTGTAGAATGACCAACGATTAGCTCGAAGCTGGTGTTTACGCTGTGCATTATCGACCTTCATTTGCTGTCTTCTTTCTGGAACCAAGCTTGCCAACATACAGTACCGCTAAATGTCAATAATATTAGGCGGTGTGTCACTTGTGCTACTTTAAAGGAGTGATACCCATCGAATTCTCTCACATTCTCAGCAGTACAGAAGCAATGATTCGCAGCAGCAGAAATGTATACACTCGATGGCGCATCGTTTTGAATATATCAAGTTCAGTTGTTAATTCAGGAATACCGGATACCTTATCGACATTCGAGTTCGAATACTCGTCACATTTTCCATACTTGTGATATAGAATAGTTGCTTCATAATAACGAACGATATGAAATAAATGAGATTGGTTTTTTGTCATGTTTGCTTTAATCCATATAACTCTTACAAATGCAAGTTTTGCGCGTAGATAATGTAATATACAACATAGGAGATGATCACTCACAAGAGCGAGAAGGACACCACATTTGTTACGCTCATTTGCACACCAACCTTATAGGAACGGCAGACTAGACTGGGTACCAGCTGAATCTCTTGTTTGACATTTTTGACCTGAATGTCGTACACAAAACCGCGTTATGTTTCATCTGCCATGATATTCAAGATATCGTTGTGCAGTTTCATAAAGAGACACCAAACATAAGAAATCTCGAATATTGTACCAACTGAAATACCATGGGAACTTTGAGCAGCCCATTCAAGTAAAAGAATACTATAGGAGAAAGTTCATGCTGGGATTCAGTTGAGTCCTTCATTAAGACCAAATTGTTATGCAAATGAGTGCACCTCGCGAAATTTGTTTAACTCGAGGTCAAGAAGAACATAAGCTTGATGGTTACTAGAGAGCTATGCCCACCAAATAAGCTCCAAGAAGACTGAAACCATTCGTGGGCAATCGAAGAGATTTAAGCAAACCTATGGGTAATATTCCTTTAGTAATCAGGCTGTTTTACCCCCACTCATCATGGATTCGGTGACGATTACCGATGGCAAGGTCCAAGAGACTCATAGGAAAAGTTAAGAGGAATATCAATAATTTTGTCCTACATATCTGTCTAACATTCGCACATTTCCTTCTACAACCTAAAATCTTGATACAACTTTCTGAAAACTGGTCTTATCCCTAGATTGCTTTCATTGATAACGAAGCACCAGTTCTGACTATAAACGAACACGCGCATCTGCATTGGTTTTATGCTCAGGCAACAAGCGAGGAGTGGCTACACATATTAAAAACGTTGACTGTGAGCCTAGTGGCTTGTGATGATGATTCAATCTCTTAACCATCTCGCTTTATTTACATAAAAGCGATTTAATCCGCGGGTCCATTGTAGTAAGCAAAGGTGTGTGTGAAAGCTGTCTTGTACGCTGACGCGATGAGCCTTATCTGGATGGCAGCATTTTGACGGAGAACGTGGCCATGCCAGTAGAATACAAATGGTGGGCTGGCATCAGCTACTTGATTAGCCAATGAACACCGGCACACAATGGGTAGGGTCGAATACGGCTTCCGCTGAGCCACATATGCGTCCACCCGAGAGACCTTTATTTAGCATACACCCGAGAGAATAAGGTGAACGAGAGAGGGCAGTTCCAAACTTATTAGCACGATGAACTGTCATGGTCGATTGAATAGGTGAGATACACAGTACACGCCATAGTTCTCCTGATAGCGCGTACCACTCCCAG